TGCACACATGACCACTCAGACCCATTCTCTCATATGTAGGCTAGCCAGCTTTCTCTGCAGATTGGAAGCCTCTAAAATTTCAGCGTAGTATTACAGGACCGACAATGGCTTGCAAGCCGTAATATTACAGAGCCGACAGTGAAAGGGTTAAGAGTAAACAAATCACATCACTCATCTAATACCCATCCAAATGGTGGGTCTATTATGCATTCACAAATGTGCTGATGTTATTTATACAATTATTACAATATTGCATAACAGTAAATCTTCTATTTTTTTTTTTTGTGGGAATAAAAGTTCTTTGTGTGAATAAAAATTCAAAATGGAATTCATGTGTATAGCCTGGGAACATAAGTAATGAAAATAGGAAATGTTATTTTAGTGCTAGGAATGCCTTCATTGTTTATTCTGGACTCTATTTTGAAAATGAAATATTTTCAAATTTGTGTGAAACTGCCCAAATTACCAATGTCTCATCACATTATTGGAAAGCTGAAACAGTTGACTGGGCGGTTCCTTGTGCTCATTCGATAAAATGGAAGAAATACTAGCAAAATCTGACTGACTGGAATAATGTAACTGGCCTAAAATAGGACTCAAAGCAGGCAAAATCCCCAATGCGTAAATACTGGTGACAGGAAAATTTGTGAAAATGAAATTTCGTCAATTTTCCATTTCATACTTTTGGTTTCATTACCCTCAGAAAAAGATTTCTATCATTTTATAAGAATTTTTTATTTTTAAATTCTTGGACAGCAAGAGCAATTCTCAGATCAGGAGTCTGGACAATGAAAGGGTTAAACCTACCCCATGCCTCTTCAACCTCTTCATTACATACACTCACTAGGCCATCTTCCTCCCAGTGATTATTTATATCTTACCCAAACTTTTCTCCTCCTCCATTTTATAAACTTTCACTTCTAAGTGAATCACTGATACCATTCTCCTTGTGTCTCATCTACCTTTCACTCAATATAGTTACAAATAATATTATATATATATATATATATATATATATATATATATATATATATATACAGTGGACCCCCGGTTAACGATTTTAATCCGTGCAAGAGGGGTAATTGTTATGCGAAATAATCGTTATGTGAATGAATTTTCCCCATAAGAAATAATGGAAATAAAATTAATCCGTGCAAGACACCCAAAAGTATGAAAAAAAAAATTTTTTACCACATGAAATGTTAATTTTAATACACACAAACTGAAAAAGGCATGCACACTTACAAGACACTTACTTTTATTGAAGATCTGGTGATGATTGATGGGATGGGAGGAGGGGAGAGCATTATCTTCTTACTGTTTAGAAGGGGAATCCCCTTCCATTAGGACTTGAGGTAGCAAGTCCTTTTCCGGGGTTACTTCCCTTCTTCTTTTAATGCCACTAGGACCAGCTTGAGAGTCACTGGACCTCTGTCGCACAACAAATCTGTCCATAGAGCTCTGTACCTCCCGTTCCTTTACGATTTGTCTAAAATGGGCCACAACATTGTCATTGAAATAGTCACCAGCACGGCTTGCAACAGCTGTGTCAGGGTGATTTTCATCCATAAAGGTTTGCAGTTCAACCCACTGTGCACACATTTCCTTAATCTTTGAAGTAGGCACAATGGATTCCACAACTGGCATAGGCTTCTCAGGGTTAGCCCCAAACCCTTCAAAATCTTTCTTAATTTCCATACTAAATTCTCACCCTTTTTACCACAGGGTTGGCACTAGAAGCTTTTCTTGGGGCCCATGGTCACTTATTTTCCAGAAACACCACCAAAAAACACTGTAATAATACGAAATTTTCCGAGTGTATGCTTGGATTTTTAGCGCGGGGCTGCCTGGAAAAACAATGGCACAGGCGGCACATGTGAGGCTGGGTGAGGGCGCACTTTGGGACGCGTCTCGGACGAAATCGGTGAGCGGGTTTTTAATCGGTATGCGCGGCAAAAATTTTGCGATTAAAGTAAGCGGTATGCGAAATAATCGCTATTGATGCCATCGTTATGCGGGGTCCACTGTATATATATATATATAATATATATATATATATACACATATAATATAATATAACACATTAATAATACATATAAAATATATACATATATATATATATATATATTTTTATATACATATATATATAAATTTTTTTTTTTTTTTTTCAACAAGTCGGCCATCTCCCACCGAGCAGGGGACCCAAAAAAGAAAAGAAAATCCCCAAAAAGAAAATCCTTTCATAAATCATTCAACACTTTCAACCACACTCACACATTATCACTGTTTTTGCAGAGGTGCTCAGAATACAACAGTTTAGAAGATATACATATAAAGATACACAACATATCCCTCCAAACTGCCAATATCCCAAAACCCCTCCTTTTAAAGTGCAGGCATTGTACTTCTCATTTCCAGGACTCAAGTCCGACTATAAAAAATAACCGGTTTCCCTGAATCCCTTCACTAAATATTACCCTGCTCACACTCCCAACGATCGTCAGGTCCCAAGTATCAGTCGTCTCCATTCACTCCTAAAACGCTCATGCATGCTTGCTGGAAGCCCAAAGCCCCTCACCCACAAAACCTCCTTTACCCCTCTTTCCAACCCTTTCGAGGACAACCCCTACCCCTCCTTCCTTCCCCTATAGATTTATATGCTTTTAATGTCATTCTACTTTGATCCATTCTCTCTAAATGACCAAACCACCTCAAAAACCCCCTCTTCTGCGCTCTGACTAATGCTTTTATTAACCCCAAACACCTTCTCCTAATTTTCACCACTCCGAATTTTCTGCATAAATTTACACCAAACATTGCCCTTAGACAGGACATCTCCACTGGCTCCAACCGTCTCCTGGGCCTGCTGCATTTACACCCAAGCTTCACATCCATAAAAGAATGTTGGTATTTACTATACTTTCATACATTCCCTTCTTTGCCTCCATAGATAACGTTTTTTGACTCCACATATACCTCAATGCACCACTCACCTTTGTTCCCTCTCAATTCTATGATTAACCTCATCCTTCATAAACCCATCCGCCGACACGTCAACTCCCAAGTATCTGAAAACATTCACTTCTTCCATACTCCTCCCCCCCAATTTGATATCCAATTTTTCTTTATCTAAATCATTTTATACCTCATCACCTTTTACTTTTTTTCTATGTTCACTTTAAAACTTTCTACCTTTACACACATTCTAAAACTCCCCACTAACCTTTGCAATTTTTCTTTAGATCTCCCATAACACAGTATCATCACCCAAAAAGTAACTGTGTCAATTCCCATTTTGAATTTGATTCCCATAATTTAACCCCACCCCTCTCCCGAACACCCAGCATTTACTTCTTTTACAACCCCATCTATAAATATATTAAAAAACCCATGGTGACATTACACATCCCTGTCTAAGACCTACTTTTACCGGGAAGTATTCTCCCTCTCTTCTACACACCCTAACCTGAGCCTCACTATCCTCATAAAAACTCTTAACAGATTTAGAAACTTACCCACCTATTCCATATATTTGCAACATCTCCCACATTGCTCCTCTATCCACTCTATCATATGCCTTTTCTAAATCCATAAATGCAATAAAAACTTCCCTACCTTTATCTAAATACTGTTCACATATATGCTTCAATGTAAACACTTGATCTACACATCCCCTACCCACTCCGAAGCCTCCCTGCTCATCCACAATCCACATTCTGTCTTACCTCTAATTCTTTCAATTATAACCCTACCGTATACTTTTTCCTGGTATATTCAGTAAACTTATTCCTCTATAATTTTTACAATCTCTTTTGTCCCCTTTCCCTTTATATAAAGGGACTATACATGCTCTCTGCCAATCCCTAGGTACCTTCCCCTCTTTAAAATTACATTTATTAAAACAAAAGTCCCAAACCACTCCAACACTATATCCCCCCCTGCTTTTAACATTTCTGTCATGATCCCATCATTTTCCAGCTGCTTTACCCCCTTTCCATACTACGTAATTGCCTCACGAAAGTCCACCACACTTACTTCTGCTCTTCTTCACTCCTAAAAGAGGGTATACCTCCCGGGCCCAGTGCTTGAAATTACCGCCTCCCTTTTTCCTCAACATTTAAAAGTTCCTCAAAAATTTTCCCGCCATCTCCCTAATCCCTCCCTTTCCCATCTACTAATTCCCTACTCTGTTTTTAACTTACAAATCCATATTTTCCCTATGCTTTCTTAACTTGTTTTAACTCAACTCCAAAATTTTTCTTATTTCATTAAAATTTCTTGACAGTGCCTCTCCCACTCTATCATCTGCTCTCCTTTTGAAACTCTCTCACCACTCTCTTCACCTTTCCTTTACTCTCCATATACTCTGCTCTTCTTTTAACACTTCTGCTTTGTAAAAACCTCTCATAAGCTACCTTTTTCTCTTTTTTCACACCCTTTAACTTCATCTTTCCCACCAGTCACTCCTCTTTCCTCCTTCCCCTCCCCCCTATAACCACA